TGATGATTTCTGGGTCAAGTGCTAAGATTGGTCATGTCCGGTTAAAAACTAGGTCACAGGAGCTAAAAATAGAAAAATCTTTTTTTAACACTCTAGTGGCTGCAGTTTTGATTCAAATTTCTTGGAAATTGGTCAGGAAGGTTGTTTTGATGATTTCTAGGTCAAGTTTTAATATGGGTCGTGTCCGGTCAAAAATTAGGTTACATTGCCCAAATATGAAAAATCTTTATAACACACTAGAGGTCACATGTTTGACTCAGTTGTCATCAAACTTGGCCATGATGCTTGTTCAAGACATTGCTTGGATGCGGTTGTGTCAGGTGAGCGATCCAGGGCCATCATGGCCCTCTTGTTATATTGTCTTATGTGAGTTATACAATGATTTTTGTTGGCAATACATGACTGTATATTCCGATAAATTCTGTAATCAGTTGACCCAGTGACTTTCTTTTTATGCCACCGCAGCATCTGCGATGCGGTGGCATATAGCGATTCACCTGTGTGTGTGTTTGTTTGTGTGTGTGTGTGTGTTATATAGATTATATAGTGAACTTAAAAAAATCTTCTTGTGAAAAACCACTTGTCCAATTTCAACCAAACTTGGCAGGATTGATCCTTGGGTGAAGGGCTTCCAAAGTTGTTTCAAAGAATTTGATTCCATGCAGAAATCTGGTTGCCATGGCAACCAAAAGGAATTATAAGAATAAATTTAAAAAATCTTCTTGTAAAGACCAAAAGGCAATAGAGCTTAGATATTTTTGCATAAGGCATTGTCTGGTAGACCTCTACCAAGATTGTTCAAATTATAACCCTGGGGTCAAAATCGGCCCCGCCCCGGGGGTCATTGATTTTCACTATATGTACATATAGTAAAAACTTAAAATAACTTCTTGTAAAGACCCAAAAGGCCTAGAGCTTAGATATTTTGCATAAGGCATTGTCTGGTAGACCTCTACCAAGATTATTCAAATTATAACCCTGGGGCAAAATCAGCCCGCCCGGGGGTCATTGATTTTCACTATATGTACATATAGTAAAAACTTAAAATAACTTCTTGTAAAGACCCAAAAGGCCTAGAGCTTAGATATTTTTGCATAAGGCATTGTCTGATAGACCCTTACCAAGATTGTTCAAATTATAGCCCTGGGGTCAAAATCGGCCCCGCCCCGGGGTCATTGATTTTCACCTATATGTACATATAGTAAAACTTAAAATACCTTCTTGTAAAGACCCAAAAGGCCTAGAGCTTAGATATTTTGCATAAGGCATTGTCTGGTAGACCTCTACTCAGATTGTTCAAATTATAGCCCTGGGGTCAAAATCGGCCCTGCCCCGGGGGTCATTGGTTTTCCTTATATGTATATAGTAAAATACTTTATAGTAAAAAAATTTCTTCTAGCAAATGCTAGAGGTTAGATATTTTGCACGAAACATTGTGAAGTGAACTTCTAGCAAGATTGTTCAAATTATAGCCCTGGGGTCAAAATTGCCACTGCCCCGGGGTCATTGATTTTCAATACATACATATAGTAAAAAAAAAAAATCTTATTGTCTGAAGGTACAAGGCTTAGAGCTTGAATATTTGTTAAATGATATCATCTATAGGTACTCTACCAAAGTTGTTCAAATTTTGCCTCTTGTGTCAAAATTAGCCCCGCCCCATGGGCCATAGGTTTTCTTATATGTATATAGTAAAAACTTAAAAAATCATCTTCTAAATTTACAAAGGCTAGAGTTAAGATATTTTGCATGAAACATTATGTGGTGAACCTCTAGCAAGATTGTACACATTATAGCCCTTAGGTCAAAATTGGCCCCACCCCCAGGAGTCATTGATTTTCACTATGTACATATAGTAAAAAAAAAAAAAAATATTTTTGTCTGAAGGTACAAGGCATAGAGCTTTGATGTTTTCTCTATAATATATTCTATGGGTTCTCTACTAAAGTTGTTTTAATTATGCACCTAGTGTTAAAATTAGCCCTGCCCAGGGGCAGTGATTCTCATTATGTTCACATAGTAAAAACAGAAAATAAAACAAATCTTTTCTGAATAGGAGAAAGCTACAGCTTAGATATTTGACTTGAAATGTTGTTTGGTGGACCTGTATCAAGATTGTTTGAATTAAACCCTTGGGTCCAAAATTTTGCCTTGCCCAAGGGGACAGTGACCTACTTTCTTGTCCTTTGATGTACAAATGAAATTTTGACCATGTGCACAGTTTTAGTTGTAAAATTGAACTTTGATATCAGGTGAACTAGATTTTGATGATGTGACCTACTTTCTTGTCCTTTGATGTACAGCTATGAAATTTGAACCATGTGTACAGATTAAGATGTTAAGTGAACTTTGATTTCAGCTGACCTAGATTTTGACAAAGTGTCTTACTATGTTGGTCCTTTGATGTAGTCATGAAATTTAGGCTGTGTGAATATGACCTTCACCACCAAATTCACTAGACTCAAGTGCATTGATATATTCCTACTCAGATCTTTTATTGAGTTAACAACAGATTTAACCACTAATCTGATAATAATAATTAGATAGGTCAGGGATCTATGCATTATGACAATCTTCAAAATTGTATAGAAACAAAGAAAATTTGTTCCTACACTACTATTTAGTGTTGTATTAATGCGGTGGCATAGCATTTTTCTCAAATGCAATCTTGTTTATTGAGTGCTAAACGTTTGAAATTTTGAAAATACGGACATGTCCAGATGCTCACTTTAATTTTGAAACAAATGACAAAGATTTTAGTACTCTGATACTTTCTTGTGTTTTGAGTTAGTACTTTGAGATTTAAACCCTTTAAACAATATAATTTTGCCTTCGAAGTTTCATAACCATTCATCTAGATTATATCCCATTTACTTGTATATCTTTATTGATTATCTTACCAGGTAACAATGAAAATATATATTAACTGTTCTTGCTTTGTTGAAAAATAATGAATGGTTAATCATACAAAAGCTTTGAAAAAAATCACAGAGAACTTCAAATTCCTCAGTGATTATATAATTGTGCATCTGAGCTCAAACCCTGCATTTTTCTATAAAAAACAATTAACATAAATATTATAAATTATAATAGATTTTGTATATATACATTTTTATATTAAAAACCTATATAAATTTTTCAATTATGCAAGTGCCTCATTTCTCATAAGGGATTTAACCATTTAAAAAAACTATTAAAGGAACGTCACTGAGATCAAAAAGCATAAACACATGAAATTGAAACTCTTACAAAGATTAGTTTGGGCACTTAAGTCAGAAATATGTGAAAAAGCAAACCAAGAAATCAAATCATAAATAAATTGAGCATTGTAATGCTTTTTTAATTTCAGGTCATTTTTTTTTTCCTTAATAAAATAATTTTTCTGGAAAAACTGACTGCAAATTGTGAGCCAAGTCTGAAATGTTGCCACAAGTTTAATCTAGACCTACATAAAATGGATCATTTATCTCATTATTTATTTATGTTTTATTTATATTTTTATGTTGTTTATGTTACCACTTGCAATTTTGGCAGCCAGTCACCATTATAATTTACTGTAGTTGATCTTACTGAATTGACCTTTGCTTTTATGTGACAAATGACCACTGTCTATTTGGCAAATTGATACTGTTATTTTCACAGAGTGGTCACTTTTATGTGTCACATCTGTATGAGTTTTTCAAAAAGGTGATGTTATGTTAGCCCAAGTACCTACACTAAGAATATGTGTTAAAACGTTGACTGAATGCTGCTCAAGATATGCATGGTACATAATTATAGTATTCTGAAAAAACTTTCAAGTTACAAATATTATGTTATTTTAGAGTCATGCTTTCATTTACAATCAGGTATCATGTGGTGTGAAGGTGTACTTTCCAAAGAAAAATGAAGGTTCTATGGAACATCTGTGGATTTGCTCCTCCAATGAAGGTCATGGTCAAGTCTCTGTTGTATCTCTTCATACAGACAAGCCATCTCTAATAGAATCATTTCAGGCCACTAAATGTATGATTATATGTGTCGAGACTGTGCCAGGTTATGCCAGGGTCAGATCAAAGGCAGCATTTGAAGAAGACACAGTCTGGATGAGTACATCAGACTCGGAGTAAGTTTTTGAAAATCTGGGAACAAGTCTGAAACTTCCTAGCTGATCAGCTGTTTAAAACACTTATTTTTAGCTCGACTATACGAAGTTTATGGAGAGCTGTCCTACTCGCCCCGGCGTCGGAGTCCACGTCCAGATTTCAGATTAAAGTTTTGGTGCAGTAAAATATTTTTTACCATTACTTTGTCATTTCTTAAGGTATAAACTTCAAACTTCAAATATATGCTCCTTATCATCAACCACATCTTATGTGATAAGGTTCATAACTCTAGCACCAATATTTTAGATTTATCTCCCCTTGAACTTAGAGTTTTCCTTAAAAAATACTATTTCTTACTGTTACTTCTTTATTTCTTAAGGGATCAACCTCATACTTCAAATATATGTACTTTATCATCATCCTCATCTTATGTGATAAGGTTCATAACTCTAGCACCAATATTTTCAGATTTATCTCCCCTTGAACTTAGAATTTTCCTTAAATAATACTATTTCTTACTGTCACTTCTTTATTTCTTCAGGGATCAATCTCATACTTCAAACATATGTACCTTATCATCATCCCCATCTTATTTGTCAAGGTTCATAACTCTAGCACCAATATTTTCAGATTTATCTCCCCTTGAACTTAGAATTTTCCTCAAAAAATACTATTTTATACTGTTACTTATTTATTAGCTCACCTGTCACAAAGTGACAGGGTGAGCTTTTGTGATCGCTTTTCGTCCGGCGTCCGTCCGTCGTCCGTCCGTCCGTCCGTCGTCCGTCCGTAAACTTTTACTTTAAATGACATCTCATAAACCACTAAGCCAATTTCATCCAAACTTCACAGGAATGTTCCTTTGGTGGTCACCTTTAAAAATTGTTCAAAGAATTTAATTCCATGCAGAACTCTGGTTGCCATGGCAACCGAAAGAAAAAACTTTATTTTGTTGAAATAAAAGCCCTGGGGTCAAAATTGGCCCCGCCCCGGGGGGTCATTGATTTTCCCTATATGCATATAGTAAAAACTTAAAAAATCTTCTTTTAAAAAACCCAAAGAGCTAGAGCTAAGATATTTAGCATGAAACATGTTCTAATGGGTGTCTACCAAGTTTGTTCAAATAAAAGCCCTGGGGTCAAAATTGGCCCCGCCCCAGGGGTCATTGAATTTCCCTATATGCATATAGTAAAAACTTAAAAAATCTTCTTTTAAAGAACTCAAAGAGCTATGGCTAAGATATTGAGCATCAAACATGTTCTAATAGGTGTCTACCAAGTTTGTTCAAATAAAAGCCCCGGGGTCAAAATTGGCCGCGCCCCAGGGGGGTCATTGATTTTTCCTATATGCATATAGTAAAAACTTAAAATCTTCTTTTAAAGAACCAAAAGAGTTAGAGCTAAGATATTTAGCATGAAACATGTTCTAAGAAGTGTCTACCAAGTTTGTTCAAATAAAAGCCCTGGGGTCAAAATTGGCCCCGCCCCAGAGGGTCATTCATTTTCCCAATATGCATATAGTAAAAACTTAAAAAAATTTCTTTTAAAGAACTCAAAGAGCTAGAGCTAAGATATTAAGCATGAAACATGTTCTAATGGGTGTCTACCAAGTTTGTTCAAATAAAAGCCCTGGGGTCAAAATTGGCCCCGCCCCAGGGGGGTCATTGATTTTCCTTATATGTATATAGCAAAAACTTAAAAAATCTTCTTTGAAAAAACCCAAATAGCTACAGTTTAGATATTAAGCATGAAACATCTTCTAGTGACTGTCTACAAAGTTTGTTCAAATAAAAGCCCTGGGGTCAAAATTGGCCCCGCCCCGGGCGTCGTTGATTTTAACTATATGCGTATAGTAAAAACTTTAAAAAAATCTTCTTTTAAAAAGCCCAATGAGCTAGAGCTTAAATGTTTAGCATGAAACATCTTCTTATGGGTGTCTACCAAGTTTGTGCAAATAAAAGCCCTTGGGTTAAATTGGCCCTGCAACTTTGGGGGGGGGGGGTGTGGGGGTTTCGGGCCTATATACAGGTGAGCGACCTCAGGGCCATCATGGCCCTCTTGTTTCTAAAGGGATCAACTTCATACTTCAAATACATGTACCTTATCTTATGTGACAAGGTCTAACACCAATATTTTCAAATTTATCTCCCCTTGAACTTAGAATTTGCCTCAAAAAATACTATTTTTTACTGTTACTTCTTTATTTCTTAAGGGATCAACCTCATACTTCAAGTTTATGTACCTTATCATCATCCCATCTTATGTGACAAGGTTCATAACTCTATCACCAATATTTTTAGATTTATCTCCCCTTGAACTTAGAACTTTCCTTAAAAAATATTATTTTTTACTGTTACTTATTTATTTCTAAAGGGATCAACTTCATACTTCAAATATATGTACCTTATCATCATCCACATCTTATGTGACAACGTTCATAACTCTAGTACTAATATTGCAAATTATCTCCCAATAAACTTAGATTTTTTTTACTAGAAAAATGTTATTTTTTACTATAACTTTTTTAGTTTTAAAGGTATCTATCTACCTGAAACTTCAAATACTTATTCTTTATAATCAATTACATTTTATGTGACAATGTTCGTAACTCTTGAAGCAATATTTACAGATTTATCTGTCTTTGAACTTAGTTATCATCAAACACATGTTGTGTGACAAGGTTCATAACTATAGCATGACTATTTCTAGAATTATTCCCCTTGATCTTGGAATTTATATTAACAAATGATATATTTTTTACTATAACTTAATACATAATTATACATAATTCGTTTTTCTTTCATCATAAGTTTGGCCTCCTTACTGCGTCCAGTATTTTATTAGTGGAGCTTGGCTGTCTCCTGTGACAGCTCTTGTTACATTTTGTAATTAATCATGTAAGCCAGTCTAAACCTTGTAGCTTTTCATTGGCTGTTTATGATCATATAGGTAAATTTGAATTTTCAAGGTACTTGTACTACCAGTATAATTCAAGAGAAAATGAAGCACCATCTTTCTTTTACTTTAGTAATTTCAAGGGTCAGACACTAGAACTTAAGAACTTTTCTACTGTAATTACAGGATCCAAGTATTTATGCTAAGTGAAAGGCAAGCAGACTTACATAGACACTGTATTTATACATTTGAAGTTGGCTGTATAACTATCTCTATGAGATACATTGACGATCTTATGTTTTGTGGAAATAGGAATGGGAAGGTGATCATTTTCTCCAGAAATGATGGTTTGTATTAATAATTATTATCTTATCTTATGCTTTTGTTGTGAAGTTACAGTGAGATCAGTGAAATATATATGATATCACACTGTTTTAAATGAAATGAAATATGTAATATCGGTTTTTGCTCTAAACATTGATGGATATAACAAAGTACCAGGATTATCAAAAAGTTCTTGGTCCGATGTACTTCCGGTAGTCAAAGAACTCAACTTATGGTCTTACTTTTCAATATAATTGCCCTCTACATCAATGCACTTTGCCCACTAGTGCTCCAGCTTGTTAAACCAGTTAAAATAGAACTTTCTATTTTGGTCCTCATAGAACGCATTGACCACCTCCATGACACCTTCATTGCTTCCAAAACATCTACCACAAAGCTTGGTTTTCAGTATCGGAAACAGGTGGAAGTCAGAGGGGACCAAGCCCGGATAATATAGGGGATGGGGAAGAATTTCAAAGCGGCAGTCAGTTGCAGCAGCCATCACAACTTGGGATGTGTTAGCTGACGCAGTGTCGTGCAGGAGTAGAATGCCTTGAATCAGTTTGCCCCTCATTTTATGCGCCATTTCTTGACCCAGATGTCTCAATTCATCTGCGTAGTACATACTGTTTATGGTATGCTCTTGATCAAAATAGTCAATCATGATTGTCTCCTGACTATCCGAAAAAATTGAAGCTATCATCCTCCATGTTGATGACACCCTCTTGAATTTCTTTTGTAGGGGCTGAATCAGGGTGATTCCACTGTATGCTTTGTTTCTTTGATTTCATATCAAATTGATGGATGCATATTTCATCCTGAGTTACAAGATAAAATCAGGTTCATCCTCGTAGCAAAACAGAAGATATCTTGAAATGTCAGGTCTGGTCCATTTCTGGTCATCAGTCAACTCTCTGGGGACCCATCTAGCCGAAACCTTAGACATGCCATAGACATCATTCAGAATTGCCTGAACTGAACCAAAGCTTATGCAATTCTTCGCAGGTCTCCCCTTCTGTAGCACATTACCAGACGGTGCACAGCTTCAGCTGCAAGGCTGCTCATCACCTTCAATGCTCTCCCTGCCCCTCTTAAATTTAGCAGCCCATTTTTGACAGTGCTATAGGAAGGGGACTCCTTCCCAAGTGTATCCATGAAGTCTTCATGGATTTCCATGGGGAACATTCCTTTCTTACAGAGGTACATAATGACGGCTCTGATTTCAACTTTCTCCATTTGGTCTAAATGACACACCCCTCTACTGATCAAAGTGTGTTTTATGTTTTTTATTCTGTGTAAAACCGTAACTCGGTCAGTAAACTTCAATAAGATATCAGTATCAACGTATTGTGTGTAAATGTCAGTGTAGTGGCTAGAAGTATATCGGGCCAAGAACTTTTTGATCATGCCTCATAGATTACACAGCAGATAACTGTCAGACTTGGCAGTAATGTCATCTAACTCAGCTTATGTGTAATTTCAAGTATTGTTTCAGTAGTTTGATCACAAAACTTTTGAAATTGGGTATGATGAATTTCGAGTAATATTAAAAAATGTCTCATATCAAAATGAGAATTTGAGAAATTTGAATATGAGAAAATATTATAGGTTACCATAAGCAAGTGCAATGTATTTCATATTCACTCAAAACAATTAAATAATATTTCAATATCATAATATATTTGTCACACCAACCCAGTTTAGGACATATGGTGACTTTCCAGCTTTACTGGTGAAAGAAAACCTCAGGTGCCCCTCTGAACATTATTCTAGGCAAGAAAGGCAACCTGAGTAGAACTACCGACATTCTGTATTGGCTGGAAGCCATCTGGATAGCTTGTGATTAGGGGAGAGTGGCCAATATCAAATAAATATTATTGTTATCCTCTGCTGCAAATACAATTTTTATGCCCCCGCCATGTAATGGCCGGGGCATATAGTGTTACCCTGTTCCGTCCTTCCTTCCTTCCGTCATTCCGTCCTTCCGTCATTCCGTCATTCTGTCATCATCAGTTTCCGTTCATTATCTAAGTAACGGTTGCACACATTCAACTCAAATTTGACATATTGATATGTCATGAGAAAATACAGGTCAAGTTTTAATTTGGTCATGGTTCGATGATTTTTGGCAGAGTTATGCCCCTTTTACTTTAAAATAATATGAAATTTTCAGTTTCCGTTCATTATCTCCCCAACGATACAACACATTCAACTCAAACTTGACATATGGATATGTCATGAGAAAATACAGGTCGAGTTCGAATTTGGTCATGGTTTGATGATATTTGGCAGAGTTATGCCCCTTTTACTTTGAAAATAATATGAAATTTTCAGTTTCCGTTCATTATCTCCACAAAGGTACAACACATTCAACTCAAATTTGACATATGGATATGTCTTGAGAAAATACAGGTCAAGTTCGAATTTGGTCATGGTTCGATGATTTTTGGCAGAGTTATGCCCCTTTCACTTTGAAAATAATATGAAATTTTCAGTTTCCATTCATTATCTCCCCAACGGTACAACACATTCAACTCAAACTTGACATATGGATACATCAAAGGAATGCGCAGGTCAAGTTCAAATTTGGTCGTGGTTCAATGATTTTTGGCAGAGTTATGCCCCTTTCACTTTGAAAATAATATGAAATTTTCAGTTTCTATTTATTATCTCCCCAACAGTACAACACATTCAACTCAAATTAAACATATGGATACGTTTTTTGAATGCCCAGGCCAAGTTCGAATTTGGTCATGGTTCAATGATTTTTGGCAGAGTAATGCCCCTTTTACTTTGAAAATAATATGAAATTTACAGTTTCTGTTCATTATCTACCCAACAGTGTTACATATTCAACTCAAATTTGACATATGGATATGTCAAAGGAATGGGCAGTTCAAGTTGGAATTTGGTCATGGTTCGATGATTTTTTGGCAGAGTTATGTCCCTTTCACTTTGAAAATAATATAGATACATCTTAGGAATAAGCAGTTTAAGTTTGAATTTGGTCGTGGTTCAATGATTTTGGACAAACTTATCTTTCTTGAATGTTGGAAAAATTTTAAACTTTCAGTTTCAGCACTCATACTTTTGTGGAAAGTTTGAATTTGGTCGTGGTTCAATGATTTTGGACAAACTTATCTTTCTTGAATGTTGGAAAAATTTTGAACTTTCAGTTTCAGCACTCATACTTTTGTGGAAATGTATGTAGCCATTATTTTGGCTACAAATATGAAATACGCTATTTTCAAAAGGTTAAGACTAAATAATTTCAGTGCTTTGAACATTGTATGAAAATGGTTTGTGTTAACATTGAAAAGTTTTAAGGGCTTTGAACTGCAAATGAAAAAAATAATTTGTGCAAACAAATTTGGAACTAAATATTATAACATCTGAAATTTTGGCTGCATGCGGGGGCATCCGTGGCATGATGACACATTTCTAGTTTATGATTTTAAATGATTAATGTTAATATTGATAATGACAGAAGTTTTATTATGCCACCGCAGCAGCATCTGCTATATGGTGGCATATAGCGATTCACCTGTGTGTGTGTGTGTGTGTGTTTGTGTGTATGTATGTTTGTGTGTTTTATAGATGATATATGAACTTAAAAAATCTTCTTGTGAAAAACCACTTGTCTTATTTCAACCAAACTTGGCAGGATTGATCCTTGGGTGAAGGGCTTTCAAAGCTGTTCTTTCCATTCAGAAATCTGGTTGCCATGACAATCAAAATGAATCCAAGAATAAATTGAAAAAATCTTCTTGTAAAGATCCATAAGGCCTAGAGCATAGATATCTTGCATAAGGCATTGTCTGGTAGACCTCTACCAAGGTTGTTCAAATTATAGCCCTAAGGTCAAAATTGGCCCCATCCCGGAGGTCATTGATTTTCACTATGTACATTTTGTAAAAAAATAAAAGAATTTCTTATTCGAAGGTATAAGGCTTAGCGCTTTGATGTTTGCTAAATAATATAGGTCCTCTACCAAAGTTGTTCAAGTTGTTCCCCTGGTGCCAAAATTGGCCCTGCCCGGGGGCATTAATTTTCATTATGTACACATAGTAAAACAATTGTTTTCTGAATTTGAGAAAGCTACAGCTTAGATATTTGACATGAAACGTTGTTTTGTAGACCTGTATCAAGATTGTTTGAATTAAACTCTTGGGTCAAAGTTTAACCTTGCCCAAGGGCACAGTGACTTACTTTCTTGTCCTTTGATGTATAGCCATGAAATTTGGAATGTGCACAGGTTTTGTTGTAAAATTGAACTGTGATATCAGGTGACCTAGATTTTGATGATGTGATTACTTTCTTGTCCTTTCATGTACAGCTATGAAATTTGAACCATGTGCACAGATTAAGATGTTAAGTAAACTTTGTTATCAGCTCACCTAGATTTTGACAAAGTGTCTTACTTTGTTGTCCTTTGTTGTACAGTCATGAAATTTAGGCCATGTGAAATATGACCTTCACCACCAAATTCACTAGACTAAACTGCATTGATAGATTCCTACTTCTATCTTTTATTTGAATAACAATAGATTTAACCACTTATCAGAAAATAATAAGATGGGTCAGGGATCTATGCATTATGGCAATCTTCAATTGTATAGAAACAAAGAAATTCTGTTCCTATTTAATGTTGTGTTAATAAGATGTCATAGCACTTTTCACAAATGCAATCTTGTTTTAAAGTTTACATTTGATTTACTGCACTTGAAACCATCTTTTACTGGTGTTATAAGGGGAGAGCTGTTAGTGACCATTGTAGGGCTTGTGTCTGTTTTGTTCATTTACCTTTGCAGCAATATTGAACCTTTATATGGGCAAGCTTATACAAATTTTAAATGGTCCTAGTTAGGGGTTCTTTATTTAACTGATCTACATTTATAAATACATGTATGTATCCTTGTGTGTCACTGGGACCTGAAATAGCAAACACAAAACTGGCCATTTAACAAAGTGCATTGGCCTAGATGTATCTTAATGATTTCTTTCTGGCACACCCGTATTTAGCGTAAAGGTAAGGTAACTGTGCCTTTCAAAACATTTAATTGGCCATTCAAGCAGAGTGCATTGACCTAGAACCTTGAAACTTTGTATGTACATGAGTTTTATCTGCCATAATAATTTTCAGCCCAAAAGATCATAGGCCTAGGCCACTTGGATTACAGTATAATATCAAAACAATAAGTTTGTCATCAAAGACCTAAACTCTTCTTGTTCAAATCATAAAAGATCTAGTGATAATGTTAATTGAACTTAAACTTTAACCTGTTGGAACCAAACATGAGTAGCATTTCCACCATTACAAAGTCAGACATGCCCTTAGATCCTTTAAGTCCTACCAGGTTCTTCACTATTTGTAACTTTATTTTTCTATTTTGATATTGAAATCGCTTAAACATAGAGCAGACTGTATATAGTTACATATTCAGCAGATTAAAAAATTGTTACAAAACGTTTCTTTTCAGATGGTGTTTGGAGTGAATCAAGGAGAATAACTCTAGGATTGAATCCTGTTACCTCCCTTATCTGTGTAGGAGATAATATGTGGGCAGCTTGCGGAACAAAAATCTATATCATTGATATAGACACATACGAGATTCAGGTTTATGAAATAGAATGTTTAATGTATATCACTGATAACAACATATGTTAGTTTCAGGTATATGATAAAGATATGTGTATTGTATCTATGAAAATAGCAGCTCTTATTATACCCCCCCCCAAAACAAAGTTTGGGAGGTTAACTAGGAGTCTACAAGTGGTTGGTCGGTCGGTCAAGCAGTCTGTTGCATTTTCCTTGTCCAGAGACTTGAAGACTAATGGCTGGAATTCAATACAACTTCAACATGTTCATACAAAGCACATTTAGAGAAAGTGCAATGCACAAGAACCATAACTCTATCTTTACTAATTACAGAGTTATTGTCCTTTTTACTTTTCTTTGTCTGGAGCATAACTTGGAATTCAAAACAAGTTCATACAATGGTCAAACAAGTTCATACAATGGTCAAGCAAAATAATAGGAAGCGCAGTGCACAAGAACCAAGTTATTGTTCTTTGTTACTTTTCCATTGCTTTTTTTGTCCGAAGCTAGCTTGAAGACTAATGGTTGGAATTCAAAACAACTAAATACAATGGTCAAGCATATTAAGAGGACGTGCAGTGCACAAGAACCATAACTCCATTGTGACAAGTTATTGCCCTTTGATATTTTTCCCTGTCTGGAGCATAACTTGAAAAGTACTGGTTATACCCCTGCACAACAAAGTTGTAAGGAGGTAATACTGGATTCAGCTTATCCATCTGGATGGCCTCCTATCCGGCCATCCGGCAGTTTTTCCTTGTCTGCCCAATCACTAAAGATTCCTTTGGCCCACAGTCTTCATATTTCGTTTTTAGATTGGTCATGATTAGCAGATGACTCCTATTGATTTTGAGGTCACTGGGTCAAAGGTCAAGGTCACAGGGGCCTTGACTATAAAAAGCTTGTCCATCCAATGAATTAAGATTCTTTTGACCTACAGTCTTCATATTTTGTATTGAGATTGGTCTTGATTAGTAAATGACCTCTGTTGATTTGAGGTCACTGTGTCAAAATTTAAGGTTGCAGGGGCCTTGACTAAAAAAAGCTTGTCTGCCCAATTATTTGAGATTCCTTTGACTTACAGTCACACAAAAGTTTTAATATAAAAGCTTGTCTGCTCAAAATCAAATGCTTAAGAATGCCTGTCTGCAGTGTATTGATTTTGACATTTTCACATTTGAAGCATGTAGAGTACATAAATAAGCAACACACTGGCTTAGCAACCTTAGATTTGGCAGGGAGGTTGTCCTTTAGCTCTGAATGGCCACTGTTGATTTTGACCATGGGGTATGTTGGGGTATACACGTCATGGCAGTGGCAGTTCTAGTTTTAATTCAAAACAGCTTCAGCACAATAAGGAAGTGCAGTGCACAAGAACCATAACTCTAATCCAGATTAATTGTAGAATTATTGTCCTTTGTTACTTTTCCATTGATTTTTTCTTGTCCAGGGCATAAGATGAAAACAACTGGTTGGAATTCAATACAACTTCATACAAAGGTCAAGCACATTGAGCAAAAATGCAGTACACAAGAACCATAACTCCATCTTGGCTAATCACACGAGTTATTGCTGTTTGATATGTTATCTTATCCAGTGCATTACTTGAAAATAAATGGTTTGAATTCAATGCACTTCATGCTAAATAAGAGGAAGTGCAGTGCACAAGAGCCATTATTCTATCCAGAGTAGTGATAGAGTGATTGCCCTTTGTTACTTTTCTTTGTTGCAAAGTATAACATAAAATCTACTGGAATTCAATACAATTTCAGACAATGGTCAAGTATATTGAGATGAAAGGCTGTGCACATAAACCATAACTCTTTCTTTACTCATTTAAGAGTTTTTGTCCTTTGTTACTTTTAGCTCACCTGTCACAAAGTGACAGGGTGAGCTTTTGTGATCGCTTTTCGTCCAGCGTCCATCCGTCCGGCGTCCGGCCGGCGTCCGTCCGTAAACTTTTACTTTAAATGACATCTCCTCATAAACCACTAAGCCAATTTCATCCAAACTTCACAGGAATGTTCCTTTGGAGGTCACCTTTAAAAATTGTTCAAAGAATTTAATTCCATGCAGAACTCTGGTTGTCATGGCAACCGAAAGAAAAAAACTTTAAATATCTTCTTTTTAAAAAACCATAAGAGCTAGAGCTTAGATATTTGGCATGAAACATCTTCTAGTGAGTGTCTACCAAGTTTCTGCAAATAAAAGCCCTGGGGTCAAAATTGGCCCCGCCCCGGGGGGTCATTGATTTTCCCTATATGCATATAGTAAAAACTTAAAAAATCTTCTTTTAAAGAACCCAAAGAGCAAAGATATTTAGCATGAAACATGTTCTAATGGGTGTTTACAAAGTTTGTTCAAATAAAAGCGCTGGGGTCAAAATTGGCCCCGCCCTGGGGGGGGGTCATTGATTTTCCCTATATGCATATAGTAAAAACTTAAGAAATCTTTTTTAAAGAACTCAAATAGCTATGGCTAAGATATTGAGCATAAACATGTTCTAATAGATGTCTACCAAGTTTGTTCAAATAAAAGCCCTGGGGTCAAAATTGGTCCGCCCCAGGGGGTCATTGATTTTCCCTATATGCATATAGTAAAAACTTAAAAAATTTTCTTTTAAAGAACCAAAAGAAAGAGCTAAGATATTTAACATGAAACATGTTCTAATGGATGTCTACCAAGTTTGTTCAAATAAAAGCCCTGGGGTCAAAATTGGCCCGGCCCCAGGGGTGACATTGTTTTTAACTATATCTATTTAAAAAATCTTCTGTTAAAAAGCCCAATGAGCTAGAGCTTAGATGTTTTGCATGAAACATCTTCTTATGGGTGTCTACCAAGTTTGTGCAAATAAAAGCCCTTGGGTTAAATTGGCCCTGCAACGTTGGGGGATGGGGTGGGGGTTTGGAGGGCTATATACAGGTGAGCGACCTCAGGGCCATCATGGCTCTCTTGTTATTGTTCAGTGCATAACATGAAAATAAATGGTTGGAATTCAATGAAACTTCATACAATGGCCAAGCACATTGAGATGAAGTGCAGGACATAAGAACCATAACTCTATTTAGACAAATTACATAGTTATTTCCCTTAGTGCTGGACTTATTACAGAGTTATTCAATAAAACTTTATCATTAATTAACCACATTGAAAGGAAATGCAACATACCATAACCACAACTATCTTTAACTGCCACACAACCATAACTCTAGTTCAATTCTTTTATTAGGTATTCTGTTACTAGAAACTTTCTCATGACTGAAGCAGTCTTGCGAGGATATTAATCACATTTAGTTCTAGTTCTCTAAAGATTCTCTAACTTTGAATAACTTGCCTCTCATAGCTGTAAGATTTAATGCTGCCATTTTCGAAAGTGGGTCATTTTGTCAAAATCTAGGTCAGCTGATCAAATAAAAATCTCGTTAACACTTTAGAGTTCACAATTTTTAATTAGATTTTCATAAAACTTTGTCAGAATGTTTATCTCAATCCTGTCTCAGACGAGCTTAAAATGGGTCATCTTATTACATGGTGATTTGTTTTCAATAAAGGTGATTTGGCAACGGATACCAAAATCAATACTCTAGTACTCAGTCTTTTTTCCGATCGAGTACTCGATTATCGGATGATTATTAATGATCTTTAAAGTTTTATCACACAATCAATATCAACACAATCTGTATGCTACTTTTGTTTTCTATTTAACTATAAATAGGACTGCAAGAAATATAAAGATATAAACATAAGAAATGTTAAAGACAGCATTTTTTATGTACCTATAAATTTTCTCCCTAAAATACCGGATGAACTTGAAGCGCAAATGCAAATACGCTTCAAACTGTCTAATATTTTAAGGCGATTAAAAATCATAAGAGGCCAAGTGACGTTAACGACACATCCCATACGTGTGTCAAATTGCTGATCGTCTCATTAATTATATGATATCATTTTCACACCTCTGCAAGGATGTTTTGATTGCATTTAACAAGTATTTATATAGTTACTTGTACAATTCCGAATTTCTGAACTTACCTTTCTAAACTGCAAAAAAGTAGAAATTCAATATTTTTTTCCGAGTAATCAATAATCAATTTTGTTAACCGATATTCGGACGTTCGATCGAGTATTCTATTTAACCGGTTACTCGTTGCCATCCTTAATTCATATAAATCATGCCCCTGAGGCCTAAAATACCCCCTTTGAGTTACTGTGATGTAGCATCATCTTTAATATTGTTTACAAAAGTATTATAAGTCATGCCCCTGGGGTCAAATTGACCCAACCCTTGGGTATTTAACTTCAAATGATTAATTTATTTTTCATTAACATACTGAAATCGATGACTTATTTATCTTTCATTAACATATTGAAATCTGTTGTATAATAATTACAATTACAAGCGTTATATACATGTAGCAAAGAATTTTGGAAATAATTTTGGATGAAAAAATATAAATTAAATAAATGGAATTATCATCAGAATTACACACTGTCATGAGTAAAGTGTGCATCATCATGAGAAGCACATGAATATCTGCACATATCATTTTAAAATTTTACCTTTTTTTCGTTAAATTTTACAGAATTATTTTCAACAAGAACTTTGTGACATCATGATTTGTAGTGCATATTGCTATTTATATATTTCTTATTACCATAATTATATTGTACTGTAATAATGAGCTGTTCATATCTTTTATTCTGTATATACTATTAATATTACTATATATGTATATCAATGTTTTTATTATTTATATCTTTTATTACTATTATAGCACTGTATGTACTATTCATATCTTTTATTACTATATATAGCAATGTATATTCTTTTTGTGCCTCCACTATAGGGGGGGGGGGTGCATTTAGATTTACCCTTGTCTGTCTGTCAGTCCTTCCGCCCATCTCTCCGTCTGTCGGTTCTTTTTTTGTGTCGCACGTAGCTAAAAAAGTAATTGGCCTAGAGTTATGAAACCTTACAGGAATGTTCATCAGCATGTGAAGTTTTGCACCTGGGTATT